AGTGAGGTTGTCGTCGCCGACTACAAGCAGAACGACTGCCTGGCTCAGATTCTCAAGAATCTTTCCCAGGCAGTCCAGGTGCAAGCGGAGATTGCGAACTGTCCGCTTTCGAGTCTGGATGGTCGGCGGTTTCTTGCCGCACACGATGTGCATGTTGGCGATCACCACGTGGAACTTGTCATGGCCTGGTTTGTTCACCTCAAAATGTGAAATAACAGCATCAATCTCTCGGCCGCTAGGAGGCCTGTAAACTTTGCTGTCTTCGCACAGAGTCAGTTCCGCAGGCTGAGAAGCACCGCGGAACCCCCAGAGAGTCAAGTAGTTGTCGACCTCCGAGAAGCGAATGCCATCACCGAAAGGCTTACTGAGGATCTCTGTCACGTTGATCCCTGCTCGGCGAAAGCCTTCACGGAACGCACCGACCTCGCAGCCACAGACAATATCAGCATCAGCGGTCTCCACTATCGTGGCGCACACCCTTCCGAAGTTAGCGCAGTGAGTGGCCGCCTGCTTACCAGTCATCATGCCCTGCTCGAACCCGAAATTGAACGAGGCGACCGTGAAAGACGCAGGCTGCACAGCGCCAGAGCCAGGCGTCTGTCCACCTTCCTCCGCAGGCTGAGAAGCACCGCGAGGCGGCGCAGGCTGAGAAGCACCGCGAGGCGGCGACACTTCGGACGAGCCTCGCGGAGCAGAGGCTGCGGATGAACGTTGGGTATGGGGGTACGGCCAGGGGAACGCCATTGCAATCGAAACTGAGTGGACTGCAGTGAGTGAATGCAGTGGCACGATTGAATGCAGTGGACTGCAGTGTCACTAGCAATTCCTGAACCAAACACGGCTGTGGCGGAAGGACTACGAAGCGTCTGGCTATTCAAAATGTGGCCCGGGAATGTAGTTCTGGGAACTCGAAGACCAGGAAGTGGCCTACAGTTGGCTCCGGGCATCCAAAATGTGGCCCGGGAATGGAATTCTGGGAACTCGAAGAGCACGAAGTGTGTGACTGTTGCATCCGGCCCTCCAGAATGTGGCCCGGGAATGGCGTTCTGGGATGTCGAAGAGCACGAAGTGTGTGACTGTTGCATCTGGTTATTCTAAATGTGGCCCGGGAATGGCGTTCTGGGATCTCGAAGAGCACGAAGTGTGTGACTGTTGCATCCGGGTATTCAGAATGTGGCCTGGGAATGGAGTTCTGGGAAGTCGAAGAGCACGAAGTGTGTGACTGTTGGTGAAAAACGAGCCCGGCACCCTGCCGCCCGGCAACTCCCCAACACCTGCCCGGACCCCCCTGTGGAGTGATCTGTGAGCTCTTTTGAGACCACTAGAAACCTATCAGTCTTCGCTGTTAGGTAATCATTGATTTTCCTTCTTTTCAGCTCTCCGACGGCCCAAGACGGCCCAAGAGGTCCCCAACATCGCCCCAACAGCACCCAAGAGGCCTCCAAGATGGCCCCATGACGGCCCAAGAGGCCCCCAAGAAGGCCCCAAGAGGGCCTCAAGACGGCCCAAGAGGCCTCCAAGACGCCCAAGATGGCCTCCAAGACGGCCAAGATGGCCCAAGATGGCCTCCAAGATGCCTCCAAGACGGCCAAGATGGCCTCCAAGACGGGTAAGATGGCTCCAAGATGCACCCAAGACGGTCCAAGATGGCCTCAAGATGGTCTAAGACGGCCCAAAAGGCCCGCAAAAGGCCTCCAAGACGGCCCAAGAGCCCTCCAAGACGCCCTCCAGGAAGGCCCGAATAGGTTAAAATCATTGATTTTCCTTAAGGTTTTTGAAGGATTTTGGCATGTTCTTCTTTTCAGCTCTCCGACGGCCCCAGACGGCCCATGAGGTCCCCAACATCGCCCCAACAGCACCCAAGAGGCCTCCAAGATGGCCCCATGACGGCCCAAGAGGCCCCCAAGACGGCCCCAAGAGGCCCCCAAGACAGCCCGAAGGCCCGAAAGGGTCAAAATGGCCTGCAGACGGCCAAGAGGACCTTCAAGATGCCCACGTGTTCCCAAAAGGCTTTTCTAACCGATTCGGGGAACACATGGTCCGATAGCTTGGCAGATCTGGCCTCAACGTTCGGCCACATAGGCGCTTCCAAAAAGGCAGGGGGCGGCGGTGATTCGCCGTAGGCGTCTTCGATAATATCGGAGGTTGGGGGGTGAGTTCGAAATGAAATGGAGACCCCTCCTACCGGGAAATCGATTTCGGTTTCGGGTTCGTGTCGTGCGTGCCGTGCGAGCGCGCGTGCGGGCGAGGCGAAGCTGCGTGGGCGGGCGAGAGGAAATTCTCCTGTGGCTGGGCCGCGGCCGGACCAAATGTTTCTCCTCTGGCAACCAGTGGCCCGCGGTGTCCCGCCGGTGTCCCGCTGGTGTCCCGTGATGTGACGTGGTGTCCCGTGGGGACCCGTTGAGTGAGATCGACCGTGAGATCGATAGTGAAATCGATGTGGTGCCCCAAGGTGCCCCGTGGTGTCCCGTTGAATGAGAATAGATAGTGAGATTGATGGTGAGATCGACAGGTGTCCCGTGGTGTCCCGGAGTGTCCCGTTGAGTGAAATCGATAGTGAGATCGATACTGAAATCGATGTGGTGCCCCGAGTTGTCCCGTGGTGTCCCGCTGAATGAGATCGATGGTGATATCGATACTGGAATCGACAGGTGTCCTGAAGTGTCCCGTGGTGTCCAGCTGACTGAAATCGATAGTGAGATCGATCGTGAGATCGATGTGGTGTCCCGAGGTGTCCCGTGGTGTCCAGCTGAATGAAATCGATAAAGAAATCAAGAATGAGATCGATAGTGAGATCGAGAAATGACCCGCGGTGTCCCGTGGTGTCCCGTTGAGTGAAATCGATTGTGAGATCGATAGTGAGGTCGATTGAGTCAAGTGTCGGTTTCCCCCCCTCTTCCCCCCCACCAACTCCTTATCGCCCGAAGGGTGGTCGTATAGGTATAACTATATCGGAGTTCGGGGGGTGAGTCCGAGATGAAATGGAGACCCCTCTTACCGGGAAATCGATTTCGGTTTCGGGTTCGTGTCGTGCGTGCCGTGCGTGCGTGCGGGCGAGGCGAAGCTGCGTGGGCGGGCGAGAGGAAATTCTCCTGTGGCTGGGCCGCGGCCGGACCACATGATTCTCCCCGGCAACCAGTGGCCCGCGGTGTCCCGCCGGTGTCCCGCTGGTGTCCCGAATTCTCATGTGGCTGGGCCGCGGCCAGACCAAATGTTTCTCCTCTGGCGGCCGGTGGCCCGCGGTGTCCTGCCGGTGTCCCGCTGGTGTCCCGTGGTGTCCCGTGGTGTTCCGTCGACCGAGATCGATCGTGAAATCGATAGTGAGATCGATACTGAGATCGATGTGGTGCCTAGGGGGGTCCCGTGGTGTCCCGTTGAGTGAGATCGATCGTGAGATCGATGGTGAGATCGACACGTGCCACAGGGTGTCCCATGGTGTCCCGTTGAATGAGACCGATCGTGAGATCATTACTGAGATCGATGTGGTGCGCCGAGGTGTCCCGTGGTGTCCCGTGGTGTCCCGCTGAGTGAGATCGATAGTGAGATCGATACTGACATCGACAGGTGTCCCGACGTGTCCCGTGGTTTCCCGTTGAATGAAATCGATAGTGAGATTGATCGTGGGATCGATAGTGAGATCGATGTGGTGTCCCGAGGTGTCCCGTGGTGTCCTGCGGTGTCCCGTTGAGTGAGATCGATAGTGAGATCGATACTGAGATCGATCGTGAGATCGAGAGGTGTCCCGCGGTGTCCCGTGGTGTCCCGTTGCCTGAAATCGATAGTGAGATCGATGGTGAGATCGACAACTGTCCCGTGGTGTCCCGTGGTGTCCAGTTGAGTGAGATCGATAGTGATATCGATTGAGTCAGATGTTGATTCCCCCCCTCTCCCCGCCACAACCTCCTTATCACCCGAAGGGTGATCGTATGGGTATATATAGATATGAACTGCCGCGGGCATCTACCTCGATCGAGAAGAAGAGGAGAAGGACGAGGAGGAGGAAGAGGAGGAAGAGGAACAAAAAACAACACATATTTCGTCGTCGCCGCCGATGTCTCACAGATTTTCGTGGTCTTTCGACCACCCGAGGCATCTTCTCGGATTCAGCCTCTAGGAAACGTTTTCGGTGCCGGGGACTTCCGCCGAAAGTGCGGGATGAGGATCGACCTCCCTGGCCGGCGCCACCCCTTCGCAAAGGAAGGAACACGGGGTGGATCGAGGCTCAATGCATGAGACTCCTAGTTCTTCGGCGCTCGCCGACCCCTTTGGACCTTCAGGAAGCTCCTCGTCGACAGCTGGGTACCCTCTCGAACTTCTGACCGGACGCAACCCCAGCTGGGTCCCAACGATCCCCGAGCCTATCCAGGAGGTGGAAACGGAGGCCTGGGACAGGCCCCGTGAAGGCCCCAACAAACTCACATAAAACCGCGAAAAGCTTCAAAACAATCCCCTACAAGGCCCCCCCTTGAACCCACACGCTACGTAGGACAGGCCGAAACCCGAAGATTGCCCAGCGATCGCGCGCGTTCCGCGAATTCTGTCTTTCACTCTTGCTGCCGCCCCAAGGGGTCGGCGGTGCGGCGTAAGCCAATGAGTAAGAGAGGGAGAGAGAGAGAGAGAGAGAAAGAGAGAAAGGAACAGAAATAGAGAGAGAGAGAGAGACAGGGCCCGAGCGGTGCTGATCGGGCTGCCCGGCCCTGCGGCGGCAAGACACACGGCGGCTGCTGCGGTCTTCGGCGCGCGCTACACGCAGAAGTAAGCGCCAGGCAGGAGTGACATTTGGTGCGTGGCTTTAGGAGGCCGCGGGGCTGCAATTCCAGGCGCGCGAGCCAGTGCTGGGGGGCCCACTGTGGGCCCGCACCGCAGGTCATTCCGACGATGGGTCGCTCTGAGGAGGAGCCAGGCCTGCGGCGAGGGGTCTCCGGATTCACCGGCGAGGCATCGCCGGATCCACCCGATGCGTTTCAGCAATCGCTTACCCCAGTGCCGGCACGAGCCCCTCACTTCTTCTGGGCGCCGTGCGGCTTCCTCTCGATCTTCCCCCAGTCGGGCTGGCAGTGCGTGCCGTCGAGGCGGGTCGTCATGCACTTCGTCAGGCTCTTCTCCAGGAGGTCCACCTTCTCCGTGTCCTCTGGAGGCGCAGCAAAAAGATCATGAACACAAACTTCCGCAGGCCCGTGCAGACGTCTGGTTACCAGCCTCGAACGTATCCCTATCCCTAAGATTGACACGCCAAAAGGCGATGACAATCTTAGGGATCCACCCTGAAAAAATAAGGGAATCCCTAAGATTGGCATCGTGATGAGGAGGTGCCCAGCATAGGGATAGGGATGTGTTCCAGGCTGGTAATCTGGGGTCGACGCTGGAATCCCCCCCCCACGTGGCGCGCGAAGCGCGCCAAGGGCGCGCTTCGGAGGCGCCACCAGGGGGGGTCCAACGCCGACCCAAGGCATCTGCGCTGACCCCTGAACCTTTGTGGGCCCCGGAAACGGCAGGGCCGTTTTTTCACCGTTTCCAAAACCAGTGTCCATTGAAAATGGAAACGGCAAAAAAACGGCGACCGGAAACGGCAACAGAAACGGCTCCAGGATCGGAACTGGACCCGGAACGGGTCAAACAACGGCGACGGAACCGGTGAAAAAACGGCGTCGGAACCGGCAAAAAAACGGCAAAACGGAACTGGTAAAAAAACGGCCCTGTCGTTTCCAGGGCCCACTAAGCCCTGAACGCTTCTATCTGTGCGCATGTTGTTGAGATGTGGTCCTCCATGTTCGAAAACCATACCTCGAGGCGCACAGCCGGGTTGCGGCTCTTCAGCACGAGCTTGTCCACCAAGCGGACGCCGGTTATCATCTCAGCAGGCTCGATGGACCCGCCGACCATCCCGAGGATGATGTTGTTCCACTTCTCGTCTATGGGGCCCCCTCCGAGCGACGCGGGCAGCTGGAACTGGAAGTGCCCGCCAGTGGCGTTGGTCGGGTCCTCCCACTCGGGCTTGATGCCCTCGCGGAAGACCATGAGGGCGTCGACGATGCTGCGCGAGCCATCAGCTTCTCGCACGAACTTTTTCCCGTCGAGGAGCTCGCTGGGCTGTGGCAGGTGGTTCCTAAAGGGGTACACTGCATAAGCATAAAACTTTCGGAGCTCCGCGCGGATTTCTTGGATACGCACTGGACCCCACTCCCTGACGCGCGAAGCTCGCAGGGGCGGCGCCAGAGGCGCCGCCAGGGGGGGCCCAGCGCCGACCCAAGAAAACCGCACGAACCTCGGCAAATGGATGCTTATGCCGGTTTTTCTTCGTCGAGTTCCAGTACTTCCAGAAGCCCTTCACCGTGGAGAAGGTCGCGACGCGGTGCGTGGCGTCGGAATAGTCCTTGGCCTTGTCGGCTGGGTTCTGCGCGATCTGCTCCCAGATGGTCCACGTGTACCGCAGGGGCGGGTCCTTGCTCTTCATCTCCTCGAGGTCCGAGGCGCTGGGCTGCTGGAAGGAGCCGATGTCGGGAGAGATCTTGCTGTTGAAGCTCAGGAACTGGGGGGCCTTCGCCTCGGCCATGGTCCGCAGGGCGCGCTGGCCAGGGCAGGCGCCCCCTCACCAGCCCCAAAACCGCCCCCGCTCCCGCGCGGCGCGTTCCGAAGGCCTTCCACGCTGCTCGAGCCCCAGGGGGGAGCAGGACGGGGGGAGCAGGACGGGGAGGAGGGGGCCCCCCACGACCTCACCCCCCGGTCCTCGATTCCCCCACCGCCCCACCCTCGATGCGCGGTGCTCGGGGGGAGGGGGCGACACGCCTGGGCAGGAGCGGCGAACCCCCCACCCCTTGGCACAGCCTGAGCGGCAGTGGAAGCGGGCAGGAAGGAGTGGGGAGGGGGACGGGGGCAGGGGGGAGGAGGCGAGGGGGTAGGGAGGAGGAAGAGGGGAAGAGAAGGGGAGCGGGAGGAAGACGGAGAGAGCGAGCACAGGGGAAGCGGGAGCAGGAGCGGGAGGAGGAAGAAGAGGAATAATAATAATAATAATAATACTAATAATAATAATAATAATAATAATAATAATAATAATAATAATAATAATAATAATAATAGTAACAATAATAATAATAATAATAATAATAATAATAAGAAGAAGAAGAAGTGGGAGAGGCAGCCGGGAAGAGGAGGGGGATCGGGAGGAGGATGGGGAGCGAGCAGAGGGAAAGACGACAAGTCAGGTATACTCGCGCCATTTCGAACGTCCTACCCCTCCCTCCTATCCCTTCCGATTGTGCCGCTATTTTCTGTATATGCCCCAACGGGTGTCGTAGCAGACCAGGAGCACCCGAAAGGACCCCTATCGTGTCACGCGCAATCTGTAAATGGGGAGATGCCCACATATGAGGAGGTGGCGGATGCGCAGCAGGATGAGCAGGAAGGACAGTAGGAAACACATGATAATGAGGATGGAGGAGGCGGGCAGAGAGGAACTGCAGCAGCAAGAGCGGGAGGAGCGGGAGGGGCTGGAAGCCAAGGGGACCGGCGGGGGAGGGAAAAAGGAAGGGGATAACAGCCACTCGGATCCAAAGTGTGGCCCGCGCTGGGGAAGGAGCGCCATTCTGAACGAAGGGAGCAGAGCAACGCTCACAAAATGAGGCCAACGCTGCAGCGGGGGCACTCTTGTTGAAGGTTCGGATTAGAACAGCACAGAAAAAGTACACCTCGGAACTACCGTGCGTTCAGGAACAGTGCGGGGATGGGGGGGGCATTCTCAGGACATCTTCGGGCAAGAGGGGGAGTAGAACTCATAGTGTGAAACTGTAGGGCGGTGGCAAGGAGAACTGGGGATCCCCAAGTAGGGGCGGCGTCGCTAGCAACAACGGGTGTTCAAAGAAGGTCACGCCAGCCCAGTCCACCAGAAAAGCGAGCTTTCATCATAACATCGTGCTGATTGCTTGCGCGGTGAACTGTAGAAGTACTTGCTATGCTAATCAGCTCACTCCACCAGGGGGGGGGCGGTGAGCGGGAGAGGAACAACGGGGAGACGGAGACGGGGAGAGGCAGAGGAGAGAGGGGGGCCAGCGGGGGGGGAAGGATAGGGAGCACCGGGAGCAGGAAAGATGAAGAGGCGGGGGGGGCAGCAGAGACCGAGGGAACTGGGGCGCGCTACGAGGCACCCTGGCCGCCTCCAGCCCTCGGCGTCTCCCGAGGAGGGGCGCTAGGCCCGCTCGGGCTCTCTCCGAGGACGGGCGAGGCGACGGGGTATCACGAGCGGCGAGCATGGCCGCATCCGCGCCTGCGCGGTCTGGACTCCGCGATCCCGCGGATACGCAGTCACACGGGTGCGTTCCGCGCGGGGCATCCGCGAGAAAGCACGCAGTGTCTGCGGGGTCGCGGCCCAAGTGCCCGGCCCGCGAGGCCGCGGATACCGACATGTATTTCGCCCACGAGGATGGGGTTGCACAAGTGTGCGCGGAGATCCCGGAGCCCCCACTTGCGGTCGGGGTTCCGGCCCGGTGGTTCTTCTTGCTTGATGGATGGGTCGATCCTGGGACCCTGGGTTGTTGGCTCCCCGGGCGGTGACCCTGTACGGATCCCGGGCTCGAGGGGAGGCCAAGACGAAGCCATGACGAGGATCAATTCGGGTGAGAAGACATCGGGCATCTCTGAGATCCTGCGGCGCCTGGCAGGTGTATGGGGCGCCGCTGCCTTCTCAGAGCGTTCCAGAACGCTCTGCGAGCGCTCGGGCACGCTCTGGAACGGACTTCTCCTCGTCCCCGTCCGAGCGGAGGAAGCCCCGATCGACCCCCGGAGGCGGCCGGCGGCGGGGAGGCGGTCAGCGGCAGGTGCCGCGACGGGGAGGGAGCGCTCTCCGAAGGCCGCCAGGGGTCCCCGCGCCTCGCGCCGCCGATGGGACGGCGCGAAGGCCGCGCGGCCGCAGTCACCGCGGCACCCGGGGCCAGACGACGCCGACGCCGACGACGCCGACGCCGGCGCCAATGCCGACGACAACGACGACAACGACGATGAACGACAACAGCGACGACGCCGACGCTAACGACGGACGACGGCGACGACGGCGACAAACACGACGACGACGACGACGACGACGACGACGACGGCGAAGAAGGGCGAATAGAGGGGTGAGGAGCGGGAGGCTACGCCCGCCTTTCCCGCGAGCACTTCGCAGTGGTCATTTCCTGTCCACCAATCCTGGACCTTCCCCGGGTCAATCCAATACCGGGTCAGTCAGGATCCTGCAGTGTCCCTCAGGATGCCGCAGAATCCTGCAGGATTGCCGAAGGTCAGTGCACCTCTGGCGCTGCAGGATCCTGCAAGATACGGCGCTCCAACTGACCCCCGCTTGCATTGACCCGCCGTCTCTTGAGCCCCGACCTCCCTTCCCTGTCCTCGTCCTGGCCCCCCGCCCCCCCCCTTCCTTCTCCTCCTCCTCCTCCTCCTCCTCCTCCTCCTCCTCCTCCTCCTCCTTCCCCTTCCTCCAGAGCCCTGCCTCACGTCACCCCCACTTCCTCCCCCCATCTGCCCCTTCTTCGTATCCCTGGGCCCCATCGTCGCATGATCTGGCCGGGCCGCGCGCGTTCTCCCGCTTGACTGCGTACCCCGCGCCGTCGCGCGCGCGGTCCCAAGGCCAGCAAAAACAAATGTTTGTGTGTGTGTGTTTGTGTGTGAGTGCGTCGGCCATGTCGCGCTGCCGGAGCATTCTGCCCCTCCGCCCTCGGCTTCTCTGTTCCTCTGTCCATGCTCCCTCCCCACCGCACGGGCGGTCTTCGTCCCTCCATGCGTGGACGCTGTCCCGCGGGAAGTCCGCCTCAGCGGTCGACCCTGTCCTCCTAAGCCTGCCCCGCACGACTGGCCATGTGCTTCCAGCTGCCATGGTGGTTATAGCGCGACGACGCAGCGTGATCCCGCTTGAGGGCCCGGCCGTGCGTTTTTGCCTGCCGTTTTCGACCTCTCCGCCTCGTCAATGCGCGCGCGGCCGCGGCGACCGCCGAAACGTGTAAGTCAGAGTGAGGGGGCCGAACGGTCATTCATTGTCCCTGGGTGCGTGGCTGAAGTGTCGATCCGTGGTGAAGATTCTGCTTGTTGCGATGTTAATGTTGGTTGTTGTCGTCGTCCCACCCGCGTTCCGCCCGCGACACACCCTGCAACCAACGCCGCGACCCACCCCGCGAACCACCCGGCGACACGACCCGCGACCCACCCGCGACCCACCCCGCGACCCACCCCGCGACACAACCCGCGACCCACCCGCGACCCAACCCGCGACCCACCCGCGAACCACCCCGGTCACACCTGCGACCCACCCCGCGACCCACCCCGCGACTCACCCGCGATCCACCTGCGACCCACTTGCGGCTCACCTGCGACCCACCCCGCGACTCACCCGCGACTCACCTGCGACCCACCCTCGACCCACTTGCGACCCACCCGCGACCCACCCGCGACCCACCCGCGACCCACCCGCGACCCACCCGCGACCCACCTGCGACCCACCCACGACGCACCCACGACCTACCCACATGGGTTTAGCGAAAATGTGTGTGTACGTGTGTGTGTGTGTGTGTGTGTGTTGTGAGTGTGTGTGTGTGTGTGTGTGTTTGTGTGTGTGTTTGTGTGTGCGTGCGTGCGTGCGTGCGTGCGTGCGTGCGTGCGTGCGTGCGTGCCTGCGAGCGTGCGTGCGTGCGTGCGTGCGTGCGTGCGTGTGTGTGTGTGTGTGTGTTTGTGTGTGTGTGTGTCTGTGTGTGTGTCTATGTTAGGCGCGCGCGCCCTCTTTTCTGACATTCGACGACCTGTCGCTGCGCGTGGGGCTGCGACGCCAAAAGTGTGTGTGTGTGTGTGTGTGAGTGTGTGTGTGTGTTTGTGTGTTTGCTTATTTGTGTGCGCGTGTGCGTGCTGCGCCCTCTCCTCACCACCCGAACGTCTGCCGACTGCCGTGCGCTCCCCGGCCCGGTTGCAGTGTCCGATGCGCCGCAAGCGCGCCCAGCTTGCCCCGTCTCCCCCCCGTCTCCCCCCTCCTTTCGTCTGAGGAGGGCAGAGCGGCGGGATGCCCTCCGCTGGGGAAGAAGGTGAGGAAGAGGCAGACGGATCAGGAGAGACGGAGGGATAAGGATAGGTACAGAGAGAGAGAGAGAGAGACAGACGAAGAGGAGGAGAGGGTAGGCAAATCGAAGCCCGTGGAACCGCATCGAAACATATGAGAAGACCTCCCCCCGTCCCCCGAAGGGGGGGAGGGGGGAAGACGAGGGGGAGAAAGAGCAGGGGGAGAAGAGGAGGAGGAGGAGAAGGCCGGGAAAAAGAGGCAGGCCAACGCCCTCAAACACTTACGCATAACCTACCAGAGCCATAATCATTCCCCTCTGCTGCCTGCATGCCTGCCTCCTCCCCTCTCCTCTACTCGGGGGTGGGGGGAAGGGGGAGAAGGAGCAGAACAAGGAGACAAGGGGCGACGAGGAGAGAGAGGAAGGGAACGAGAAGGGATAAGACCCCAGAACCCCTGCTCTACGCACCACCTGTCTCGACCCTGTCTCCTCCTCCCATCTGCACACCCCCTCCCTTTCTCGCCATCGC